TTTAATATAACTTGAAAGGTTACATTTAATTATAGCGACGAGTAATGGATAGACAAGCTACATATTTCGTTCAATTAATTGCTTTTTAGTATGATTATATTATTATTATTGTATTAAATTTAAAAAAATAAATAAATAACTGAGTTAAATATAAATAAGAACATAAATGATAATTTTAATAATTCCATAGTGAAGATAATAATTAAATTTGAATTATTTTTTGACAATTATATTCAGTTATAATATTTAAAAAATGAAAAAGATAAATCATATTATTATCATTGGGATGGAACCATAAATTAATTTTGATGATGATGTTTTTTATTTCGTTCATTAATAAACATATAATTTTACACATTAATGTCGCGTGCAATTATAGATTTTTATGAACCTACAAATGATATATTAGATAGAAAGATTAGTAAATTACTAATATAATATAATATTATGTCCTAACGTTTTAAATATACACACAAATTTAATCATGGTACAGTGTTTAATTACAGGGTTTCAAGTTTTATTCAAATTAAATAAGATTTAAAATATAAATCTCAATATCATTTGAAGTTGACATTATATAAGTGACACGTAATATAATATATTCATTATTCATAATTTATTTTTTATTTATTTTTTACTTATTTTTTTTTTTATCGATTTTTATTTAATAACCCTGCTATGGTTTTAATGGCTTTTTAATATCTAACGAAAACATTTTGGCCATAACTATAATTTTAGGGAATATTTATAGTATTTATGAGGTGATGTAATGATAAGTTTATCATTATAATTAAGATTTTAAATAAACAATTATTATTGCCTACTATTTTTACAACACCATATCATACTGGTGGCTACAATTAACCTTAATTGTGATATTCAACTATAAATTAAAGTCTATAATAAATCATTTATTATCCATTTTTATGTAAAAATTTTACAATTATTATTTTAAGTTGATTTGATGAATAGGATATACGTTTTTTTTAAGAAAACGTTTATAGATTTTATGTATATACGAGTAAAAAAAAAGTGCCAAGTAAGCAAAATATGAAAAATAAAATTTATAACATAAAGCGTTTATGTGATAAAAAATATTTGTCTAGTGCTTAGTTAATTATTTTATTTCATAATAATTTTTAATTTCATAATTTGTGTGTTACTGTTTATTCATAGTATAATTAAATTTAATTGCAGCTTTCAATACATGGTATTTTTTATTTTTGCATTTGCAATTTAAACAAGCTTATAAGTATTTTTTACGTAAGAGTTATGTAAGTTATTACAGAGACGTTTTGTTATTAATGATACAATATTATAGTCATGATAAAATTCACATATTCTATTAAATTAGATTACTATAATACAGTGTTAGGCTTGGCGTGGCGCGTTGGCTGCTACCAGTCGCGGAATGCGACTGAGAGTAAGTAACAGCCACAGCTACTAGCTCCCGGATGGGTGACCACTCGGGATCATAGTGGTTAAAAACCTTGCCACACATACACGTGTTTGCTATCAACCGTAACAATCATAAAAAATACAACCTACCGTACCAACCTACAACGTAACCCTTACAAACAGCTAATGGCCCTAGTTGCCGGGCTTAAGTTCAATAAAAAAAAAAAAAAATACAGTGTTATATAACAAAGTTTTTCAAATGATATTGTTTTGATGATTGGAAAGAAAATCTATCCAAGTCTCAGTTATAATAATACAAATAAGCAATTAGTAGGTATTAGGTAGTATACACATGCAGTTTATTTGCATAATTATATACTTTGAAATCTTAGCACAATCATTTTTAAGAGGATAGTCATAATTTTTTGATGCATAAAATGTTTTTTAATACAATTTAAAAAAAAATTATTTTAAAAAGTGTAAAATTCTTTATTTTAAGAAGCTCAGCTACTTATAGACTCTAAGGAAACAAATAGCTTTATATCACGCCACGTCACTAATAATAATCTGATCACCAGACCATACTTATTAGTCGGATTTTGTATTTTAAATGGAATTGTAATCGATGATTAATTTGGCCTGTCAATAAATATACAAAATATAATACTTTCAATAGTACTTGTATAATAGTTTTAAGCATATGAATATAGGATACATGATATTTTTCAAATGCTGTTAAACAATATTATACAACACAAATGAATATTATTTGGAATTATTTAATTTAACCAATCTTAACTCGTGCATACTCGTCAATAACACTGCAATTAATAATAATTATTATTTTGTTTTGATATATTGTATTGTATCATAGATTTGAGATAGGTACCAGAAAAATGGACGGTTCTGTAGCTAAAATGCCTATTCAGAACGCCGTGTTATCGTTAGTGTATTCACAAAAATTAAAAATGTTTTATAATTTCTCAATCATACTGTACATAAATTATAATCGTTTGTGTGCGCTGTCAAGCTCTTAGTTAGCAGTTGGCTCGACAATTCGCATCATAAAATGGTTAGAAAATACAAAGATTAAATATATTCATACAAGTGTCAATAAATAGGATGACCTATAAATTATAATATAAATAATAATAATAATAAAAGTATAATATTTATCCATCAATCGATAAATTTAGGTATATTTATACAACGTGAGCACTTTAAATATAAAGACAATAGAAGCATAATTATAGCAATACACATCGCACGGGATAAGGCGATTTTCGTAAGTTCGCACTAAAAATGGAGGTGACGCAAAATGGACATGACTTCAATGTTCACACGCAGATGGAATTAACTTAGATAATATGATGAGTGAGCGCGGTTTCGACAAAAAACGTGGCTGTAGAAGAAGTGGTTGCCAAAAAGTTCATTGCACCCCACGATTACGCGGACCGGTTCGAACCGTGGAAAAACGGCGGCGTGAACATCGTTTAAATGTATTCTTTTTTTTTTTCTTATGTGCATTCATTGTTATTAAAGTAGATTATCTCTGTTCTTGTGTTTATTGAATATTAATAGTTGCTATACTTCAAAGCATCGATAGAATATAATTATACTATATAATATGATAAGCATATATTTTATAGACATAAAACAATGTATGCAAAAAAAAAAAACGTACACGTAAAATATTAAAATAGACTTTTTATGTGCTTGATATTGTTTATTTTCTAATTTTGATGATTACATAAATTTATATAGATCTTTATTAAATTATTAAATTATGTACGATGCAATTTCAGTGCTTTTAATTAATAAAATAAAAATACTATAAATATTTTGATATGCAACAATATTATAACTGACTATAATGTTAATAATACCGGGAATTCATTTATTACATTAGTTTTTATAATTCTTCACTTTAGCTAACACGTCTTCCTTTTTGAAAATTAATTAAAATTGAAATTAATTTATAACTGTGTAGATGAGATTTTTAATAACAAAATTTGCTAAAAAAGTGTTGTAGTGATTTTATTTAAATTAAATAATTAAAAACAAATTTTAATCTGTTTTTAATAACTTAATTAAAATTTGATACATTTTATATTTTATTATATTGAATTTATTTTACTCAAAATATTTAGCTATAATAATTTACATACATGTCGTATTATAGTATTTTGGTGTTTAATTCTTATCCTCTCCTGTAACTGATATTGTACAGTTGTTACATAAGCATTTATGCTAAGTTAATTTTTTTTTTTATATTTTTTTGATAGTGATGCTTTATTTGCCTAATTATTTTGTTTATTTTATTATAAACTACTACTTTTAAATAGTTATTTATTGCGTATTTTCATATTGTTTAACATAAACTTTTTTTGTAAAGTAATCTATATTAGTGATCAGTAAAATAACTCATCAGTTACATTATCCATGTTAGATTACAAACATATTTTGACAAGCAAACGTGTATGTAAATGGGTACATCGTGTAATATATTATATATTATCACCAAAAAAAAAAAAAAAAAAAAAAAACAAAGAAATAACAAAACAATCTCGTTGCTTAAATAATACACACAGCAACACTCATTCATAAAAAAGAGAGATATAAAAACATGTTGAATATTTTATTGTTACTATAATTTTTTTATAGAACAATAATCCTAGTTAGGCAGAAAAGTGACGATAGAATTTAAAATTGTATCCGAATATACATGATTTTAGTGTTTCCCCAATGTCTACAGTTTTAATAAATCTCAAGTTATTCATCACATAGTATATTTTTATTTAATATAATTGACAGTAAAATATACAGATTTTTATTATATAAATAACATAGTCATAAATTCTTGTATACCTACGATAAATTTACACAATACTACAATGTCACCGTGCCAAAACACGATTATGTAGCTTAAGACTAAAATCATACTTTTAATTTTAATCATAAGCTTACAAATTGTAAAAACTTTCTGTAAATACATAAATACAGTGTCATAAGAAGATATACAAGATATACAATTAGCTGTTTAATTTGTTTATCAAATTTTTTTGGTCAAAATGAACTAAAATATTTTAACATTGAATCGCATGACAATCATTGGTCATAAATCATAATAATAAGGTGCTAAAGTGGTGCAATCTATTTTATTTTTTGATAAAATGATTTTATTTTATTTTATAATTTCTATATAATGTATCTTTTCAAATGATTTCATTTGAAACTATCAGAAAAAAATAAACAGAATATAAAATTACATAACTTTGAATATCTATATTAAAAACTTTATTAGATACATAAACATGATACAAAATATTGATACATATTATATTATATTTGATATTTAATTGAAGTTTTAAATTATTAAACGTAAAAATTAATTAGAATGCCCCCTTTATAGTATGGATGAATAGAATCAATAATTTCGTAAAAAGGTTATATTGTTTATTTTGTACTATAGTAACAATTTATTTTATTGTTTTTAAATATTATATTTAATGATTATTATTTTTATAGTATTAAAATTTAAAATTCATCGTTAATTATATAAGACATTTTTTGGTAAATTTAACTCAAATTGAAGATCATTAATGTCGAAAGAGAAAATATTTATTGAAAAATTTGGCAATAAATACTTTTGTCTTCGACAAAGAAGTAATTATTGCCAATTCGAAACGAAAACGAGTAAAAAAAAAATTGTGAACTCAAAACCGTTGAAAGATGAAGATATTTACAAAACCGTAGATAGATTGGAAAACATGGTGTTTTATAAGGTATCTCATTGAAAATTATATATTCTACTTAAAATATAATGCTTACAATCATATAATACTTGTAATCTTATGATTTATCTACCTAATTTTACTTTATTAAAACAGTTATCTAAAATAAAAAAATTCAAGCCACCAACTGACAAAAAAGCATATTTCGAACAAAAATTGCACGAATTTCTAAGAATTAATAAATTAGCCGTGGATATTTTAAACGAAATACAATATTCAACCGATATAATATACGATTTAAAAATGGTAAAAATCATATTAAATCATAATCTTACACAACTTCAATGCATTCAAGATGAACAAAACAATATATTATTGGAAAATTTGAAAGAAAAAAAATTGAGTTTTACAGATAAAATTTTAAAATTAATATTATGTCAGTAGTGTAATAACACAAAAATAAGAAAAAGTTAAAATATCTCCGCCCACCCTATCATATGATATACGTTGACTGGCCTTGCCCTTCCCTTTTCTTCACGTCTTTCGTGACGTGACCAGACTCCTGTGAAGTGAAGGTGGTGCAGCTTGAGTTTGAGTGTGTTGATTACCTCTTTTTGTTGTTTTGATTTTGGATTTGACATCCTTTATAATTATCGTATGGCTAAAAAAATAATGTATTTACTATTTATAATTATTATCTTATAAATTACCTTTGCTTTAAAAACATCTTCTGTCTCATCATTTAAGTCAAATGTGTATCTTTCGCGATAATCAGAGATAAATAGCTTGACGAGGTCAAAGAAATGATTGTTGAATTTCTATCAAGCAAATAAAATAATAATAATAAATTAATTCAATCTTTATACACATAGAATAAATATATTGGTTATACTTTTGTTAACATTTCTCCATTCCACCGTTGCATGCAATGTTCAGTTAATTTTTGGTCAGTTAAGTTAGGTTAGGGATTAGGTTAGGTTATACGCTATACTCAAACCCAAAAGAAAAACCCTCATATGCCGAAGTGACTGCGAATACACTACCATCCGATCAACCTTTGCAAATCGTCACAAATTTCCTTAACGAGCTAAAATTAATCCTAAACCCCCTCCTAGCTGCTCTAACATCCCTAATAAACAAAATTCCCCCCCCCCTCATCACTTTCATTCCTTAATTAATTAATACACGTATCACACATCTTCTGATCATCCATACCATATTTAATAATAAATTCTAAATTGTATTAATAAACTTATAATAATATGTAATATGTTGACACATTTTAAATATAATAAATGAAAAAAAAAATTTACAATAAATATTTACATTGTTTTTACTTCGCCATTAAATGGATTATAAGTAGAGCTGGGGTTTTGATGCAAAGGCATCTTTTTTTCTGATGTTTTGAAACGTTGATCCGTAAGTATAAAATGTGTTTTGGGTGATACTGATTAATTTAAAGTATATTTTATTTTGCATTTTTTTGCATTTTTTGACAAAATTAAACAAAAATGCATTTTTAAGACATTTTTTGACGTTTTTAGTGCATTTTCTTAGTTTTTAGAGCATTTTTCACAATTTCTTCATAAAATGAACTAAAATTGTTGCGATGCACAAGAAATTTTCGGCAAACTGCTGACGGTACGAATAATAAATTATATATAGTATCATATATTCATATATTTCATCATAGCTAGGCTTTTCCCCAAAAATTATCACCGTTATATTATACCTATTATGAATTATTATTTTTATTACACCATACATACATACATAGGTACAAGTTATCGTCGATAACAATTTATATTTATAAAAGTATATTATCCGACCAAAGACGATCATTTTTATTTGAAAACATAAGACAGCATATCATTATACAGTGCAATAGCGATTTTGTTCAGGTTAGTATTAATAACAACTAGCAAAAACAAGTTAAAATATTAAAATTTTTTTTTAAATTATTATTTTAGAATGAATAATTATTGAATAAGAAAACAGAAGCATAAAAAAACAAGTAACAACGTACAATAAACAAAAAAAAAATACTGTAGTGTAATTAAAATTTTTTTTTCTAATTTTTAACATATTTTTAACATTAATCAATATAATTTAAATGCACTTTTTTAGTTTTTTTAGTCATTTTTGCATTTTTTAAGGGCACTTTTTGAAGTTTTTTAGTGCATTTTTTGAGTTTTTTAAGTCATTTTTGCATTTTTTAAGGGCATTTTTTGAAGTTTTTTAGGGCATTAAAATCCCAGCCCTAATTATAAGTTATAATTTGGTCGTGTAATACCTACTAAGCAATATGCCGTAGTGAAGACTGAAAACGCTGCTTCGGTCTCAAACTCAATTCGTAGATTAACGGTCGGCTTTGAAAATCTTCATAGGAAAATACTTCAGAATTTTAATAAACCTTTAAGTTTTTAATTTTACAATGATCAAAACATGACATTGCTTTACTCATACTGTTTTTCCTATCAGTCTAAAATCTGATTATACCATATCGAGGTTTTTCTAATTTATTAGATATTTTTACTTTCCACGAATGTGATGTGTTTTGAGGTAGAAATGGATATTTACACAACTTCCACGATCTAAACGATCATTCCAAAGGTTTCTGAAAGCTAACTACTTTCAAAAGTTGTATTTTTTCTTTATCACTGATCTTGTATATAGGTTTATAGGCATTCTACGCAATATTTTCGTGATATTTATCTTAACGTCTTTCAGCTTAGATGCATCTATGACAACTTCATTATTTTGTACTGCTTAACCCCATTTATATCTTTTAACGCTCTATTTAATATCAGTTTTTGATTGCAACTTATTAAAATACGTTTATATTCTTCGCGAAAACCAAACAGATCCTCAAGATTAATACACCCGTTAAACATACCACTCTCAATAAAATCTTTATTAACATTTTTAATATCATCATCCCAGGCAGCGTTATAGTGTGACACTATATCCGACTTATTATATGAAAAATATAATTTCTATGTTGTAGTTATATCTGGGTTAGTAAGTTTCTGAATTTGTTCAGTTCGTATTTCAGTTCCGAGGAAAAAAAATACTAGTGCATTGTTTATAAATCGAATGTCATCTGTTATTTCAGCAGGTTTGTTTATTGTCCACTCAATGTGTATATAACTTTCACACGGTTAAGTAAACGACTCTGTGTTATGCAAAGCAATACGAATTTCATAGTTATTAGAAAGAGCGGATGTTGAATATGGGAGAAAAGAATGATAATCAATTTGAGTTATCCAACAATCATTGGCATACCTAGCTGACACATCTAAATATATATCAACCATATTAAATGACGAGTAGCGAATGAAGGAAAGCTAAATTTTCAGCTGTCAGACTATTCCCAACTTAATAGTATTTCGAATTTTTTTTTCTTTTTCTTTAGAGTTATTGTTTTGATAATATCACTGACTCGACTAGCGGGTTCTTTGTATATCTGACTATTTATATTATAAAATTGTAAATCAATTTTATCACAGGTCTCTTGGATTATAATCGTATTGATACTGGCTCTCCTCGTAGATCGATTATCTAGTTGTACTGGTTTTTAAAAACAATCTTGACATATATAATAAATGAACAATTGATAGAATAAAAATAAAATGTTTTGGATTTTCTATTAATTTATAGCCCGGAGGTACATTTGGATAAAATTCCCGTAATGTATGGTACTGCTTCCCGTTTTTGAATGAACCCACAACTAGATTTGATTCAACATAATATATACAATTGGATTTGGCGATATTTGCTAGCATACCAGGTTAATGCTTAACATTAGTATCATTTATACGTATTTCAAAACCCAATAACTCGCCTATATTATTAAATATAGATAAATTACACATAATTTCACATTTTAACGTGTTATTATTGTTCTTTAACTCGAACAAAATCTCGGTAACAGCTAGCATAATATGCTTTATTACTGTCTCGATTTCGCTCAACTCATAAGAGCCTGTAGACAGCATTTGTTGTTTTGTCACTCTTATCCTCGTAATATATGAAGCCAATTTTATCACACTTCTCATCTATATTAGGAATAGGATTATTTGTCTGAAAGCTCGACAGACAAATCTTGGCATTTTTACTGACTTCTATCGGCGAAAAAAATTGCAAGACAAATAACTGGAATTTCAGCTTAACGTTATAGTGTACATGACAAAAATCTTAGACACAAGTGCTCGCAGTTTATTGTATTATATTTATAATGTCTATCGTAATTATATACGATATAACAATCGCTAAAATATTTTTATAAGTCTAGTGGTGGTATTAGATTTCCAAAACCACCAAAGTATTTAACTTGTTTATTGATTTTTCTAAACGTTACTAAATGTTTTCCTTCATCTCTCTCGACAGCCAAATAGATTATGGCCGACTCTCGACTTTTAAAATATAAAGGCAACTTTTTTCTGGATAATAATCTAATGAAATAAGGTGTTTTCAACATGTTAACATATTTTATAATCGTACAATGCTCTATCGGGTAACGTGATTATTGAATCTTATTTATATTTTGTATAAAAACATAAACCGTAATAGTATTTTTTAAACACTTAATATTATACACAAACAAATTATATTTTAATAATATGTGAGTGGAGATTGCATTTTTTCCATTTCCTTAGCAACCTAAAATTCGTAATCTTATTTTTATTTTTAAATTCATAGAAACTAAATATATCACAACGTATGAACAATTTATATCATATCACAATATAATTTATAATTAAAATAATATATCTCTAAAATTAAATCATTTAAACAAAAAATTTAATATTAAATTATGTGTTTCATAGTTTAGCACAACATGCTAACTTCTTTTTAATAAAGTTTGAATAACTAATGAGTTATGAAGAACGTTGCATTCAATTTTTCAAGTATTTTTACGGATTGAAAAATGGTAATAACATTTTTGGAAATACAAATTTACGTTTACCATAAACATTCTACTTTAAACCATAATATACATACTTAAAATATTAAGGATTTATTATTTTAATCTGTTGCTTAATAAAATAATCATAATTATCAATATTTTAGTGCTAAGTTATATGTATTTTATATTTTCAAAAAAATACAATTATTTATTAGAACGATTTCTTAAATAATTTTATATATACTTACATAAAAAAAATCGTATCTTGTATGAAAATTACTGTATTGATGCCCGATGACTCACGAACAAATGAGACGATATTATTTTCCATTATGATCATTATAACAAAAATAAAAGTTAAATCGAAATAAAAGCAATCATCAAATTTCACAAGTCGCCTCTGTGATTCTATAATTTATAATATCATAGATAATAACAAAACAATTATTTACATAAATGTGCTTACCCATGCATATAACGATCACAAAATATATAATTTGTTTATATACTC